GCCACTTCCTTGAAGATATTCCAATGTGGCTAAAACTGGTGTCTGCTATATGCATACATTGTATAGTCAATTAGCAATAGGTAGAGCACAGAGTCATATGTATAACGGTAAGTCACGACACATTCATCATCGATATAACACCGTGAGACAACTACTCTCTAATGGAATTATTTCCATTGAACATATAAAGTTTAAAGACAAAATAGCGGATCTACTAACCAAAGGGTTAGCAAGAGAGTTAGTTGAGAATTCATCGAGGGGAATGAGACTGAAGCCTATTAAATAAGAGTTACCACAATGGCAACACAACCTAGTTGACTGGAGATCCCAATATCTAGGTTCAAAGGGACAACCGAGTTGTGTATGACTCATAAGGATCACTGGAGAGTCAAACTTCTGCCCATTTCTATGATGAAATAGTGATGTCTGCAGCGTTTTAGGTTAAGTAAAATTTTTAATAATTCTTATATCTAGGAATACCTAGTGGAGTATGGCGGATATTCTTCATAAGAATCATTTATATGAGTGTGACTTAGGCCGATTCTATGAGATTTGTGAAGGGCTATAATTCTCTAGAGCACTCATAAAAGACCAGGTTGTTCAGGACCAAAATGAACACAATAGTGAGAACTAAACTGTGTCTGGTAATATACTGTGTTAGTTATATTGTCTTGATTTACATAGATAGCTGAACAGTTCAAAACATCATGTTCACTGGTTAGCTAGTAAATCTGACAGTGTCTTACAAGGGAAGGTTCAAAGCCAAAAGCTACCTATCCTTTGCAGAATATTTCTGATTTCTGTACTCTTTGTAATTAGATCATGTTGTTACATTTTCTCTCCGTCAAATTCCATTCATGTAGGGGATTGTTGGAATTATGGTTTTTATAGGCTTGTTTTGGGTCAATTTTGAGACCAAATTTGAGTAGGTTCCATATGTTTTTTGAGGTGTGTCCAAAGAGGTAACGTTTTTCTTGCCGTATGACAAGTCACACAGTGAAGACAGTTCGTCAAAACCATTTACGAATGAATAGGAAGTTGATGCCATTTTCAGGCTCGTGGAATGAACAATTAAAGAATAAAATGTGGCTTTCCTTATAAGGCTTGTCCCACATTGAAAACTTAGGAGAACTTATGTGTGTATATAAGTTCTAGGTGGCAACAATTGGGTTAAGCCCCAAGAGGCACCCCAAGTTTGTAGAAGGGAGGAGTTATAGACAAAGTAAACCTTGGCTCAAACCATCACACGCGTGCGGGGGCCGTCACAGGCCGGCCGACTGAACCGTGCCGTGCGCGGTTGTGAGTCGGGTCGGTTCTAATATTGATTTTTTGGACAAAATTTATTTGAATGTTTCCAGAAATTCTTGCGAGAAATATTATTATTTTTGTACAAAATTTAAATTTAATTTTCTATCCAAATATTACCTCATCTAATCCGAATTTCCTAACCGTTTAAATTGTTTTAAACTGCCCAGCAGTTCTAGACAATTTTATTTCTTCCCAGATAGATTCAAATGTGTTTCAAATAGATTTGAATTTCTTATACCTGTTCAGTTCGAAATTGTATCTATTCAATTCAAATTATACCTATTCAAACAGATCTAATGGTCACCTATCTGTCTATAAATACTTGGCCATTTCTAGCATTTTGTTGATTCCGAAATCCTTTTTCTTGTTTTCCTTTTGTGCTCTCTTTGCATTATTCTACATTCTAGTTTTTTTAGGAAAAATTCAAAGAGTATAGAACACAGGTTTTGTTCGCTGTACAGATTGTTTGGAGTGCTACTACAATCTGTGAAGATCATTGTATATTGGGAGATAGACGCCATTTATCTGTAAGCACTGAAGCGGGGGGGAATTTGTCTTAAGGACAGAGCGTCACACACTCGACTTGATTGTTTTTATTATTATTCATTTCGGTAAATAAAATCTGTAAGTAATTTATTTTTGTTTGTTTGATTTGGTTTCACATTATTTATTTTACACAGAAGACTGTTCCAACACCTAAACCCTGAACTAGAAATCAGTGGTTGAAATCTAATGTTCAAGTCGTTTCAAATCATTGCACTATACCACATCAGTTATTTCAACATTCGTTGATACTTATAGAACAATGGAGGTCGATGACAACAATTCTGATGAGGTTGGCGTTGCATTGGTAAGTTTATCTATCTTGCATTAACAATTCTACATTATTTTTAGGGATATAATCGGTTTGGTATGGTTGGTATTAGGTAAAAATTTTCACTAAACCGATAATATCAGTCTTATTATTTTGAATACTGATACAGATTGCTTCTTCCATCAAACCACACCAAACCGACTCAATTGAAACGGTTCGGTTTGATGCGGTTTAATCGATGTAGGACCTTTCAAACTTGAGTCATTTTTTAGTATAATCACCGATCTATATAAAACATTGAATTTATTATTTGTCCACCATTTCAAACATATCCAATCTATCTATTTAATAAATATTAACAAAAAAAAAAAAAAAGTTAAAAAATACAAAGGTTTCAAGAATAATAAGTTAGATTTAGAGTTAGAGTTAAGATTATAGATAATAAGAATTACAAACTTAGGTTATAGAGATGATAAGACTAATAATTTATTATACTTATTAATATCATTATATTGTTAGATTATATATATATATATTATATAAATACAATATATTATGAACCGGTCGCTTTCGATTTAGTTTAGTGCACAAAGTGCTTAAAGCGATATTGAATCGAAAATAAATAAAAAAGTCAAATTAAAAGCTGCACAAACGGATTAAAAAACAGACCAAATATAGCCGGTTCGATCTAGTTCAATCGGTTTGGTGATTTTTTTTTAATTTTTCTTACATCTCTAATTATTTTTGATAGTTGTTGTTTTGTTTAAGCATGATCGACATTGGTTTGCCGATTGTTGAGGTTTTGTTCGGTAATACAGTGTTGAATAGAAACATATAGTTCAGAAGATAGGTTCCAAACAAAACCTTTATTTTCAGCACTATTCAACCGAACAAAACCATTCATTAAGACGTAAAAGGGTTTTTCCGGCGCCAAATGCACGCCGTGGATTCGATTTTACGACGCGCAAGGCAATGTCGTATTATGACTAGTCATGGAAAGTGTAACAACCCAAAAATTTAAGTTGTCTCTTAAATTTTATACTAGTATTATGGTTGTATGTGATGATATATTATTAAAAATAAAAATAAATAACAATAATAATAAATTCAGAATCTAATTTAGCATTGGATTATCAAATATGGGATTAATTAGGGATTATTATTTGGGGCCAAATTAAAGTTAAAGATAGTAAATAAATAAATATAAAAATAAGTGTAAATAAATAAATAATAATAATAGATGTGGTAGTAAAATAATTAATTAATTTACTGTTGGTATACGATATAGTGTAATTTAATTAGGTATTAATTTATTTATATAATTATATTAGAAAATTGAGCCAAAGTATAATTATCTTAAATATTTATTAAAGATAAGTATGAATCTAAGTAATTTATTATCAAATCTGGAGAGGATACGCAAGCCACGTTCTTACCTCCCTAGAAATAGAGAGAAAGTGATCAGTAGTGTGGGAAAGAAAAGGAAAAGAAGCGAGAAAGGAAAAGGAAATAGAAAAGAAAATGAGAGCAAAGGAACATCCGTGAGAAGGTAGTAAAAATAAGAAGAAAATAGTAAGACTCAATATTAAGGCGAGTTATATTATACCTTAAGTTACCATAATATATTTTACGTATGTTTTGACTTACCATAATTTATTTTATATGACTTATATTTTATTAGTTATGTTAATATGAGTTATGCTTTATAAATATTTTAGTTACGTGGATTAATTTTTTAACTCTATTTGTTTAAAATGAAACCCATGTATATGTTTGTTTATATTTTAAAGAATATTTGACTATGACCTTATAAACAATTATGTTTTGTAAGTACCACATGGGAGTCCCACGCCTTGGGGGACTTAAATAACCATTGGCCTCTGTTTGGTCACCTTGTGGCCTTCTGTCTGTCATGGATCCATTGACCCTCTGATTTCTGGTGTGGAGCAAAGTACTATGCGGAGATAAGTGCTATATTATTGTGGGAACCACCTCTATAATCCGTACGAGCCATCTATTGAATCCGTACCTCTGTTTTGATTGTCACTCCTGTGACCTCTGTTATGTTCTGTTCGGTACCATGGTTATGGTTATATATTTACATAATCTCAATTTTGCTACTTAAATGATTATTTGTTCATACTAAGTTATCTTAAATATTTAGTTACATAACTATCCATGGTTATTTTGTATCCCTTATGTTCTTGACATAATATTTCTCACTCTGCCATGTGCTTATAGCTGTTTACCAATTTTCAGGAAACAGTGCAATTCATAAATAGCTTTTGGAAAGTCTTAGACGCGAGACTGCGGAATAGACACACACAACACTTAATGATATTTTTATATGTAAATATCGGCCTTTTTGGTCAATAAATTTTGTAATAAAAATAGAAGCTCCAATGATTATTTTGGTACTGTCACTTAAATATTATTTCCGGCCGCGTTTATTAATTTGTTTAAGAATTGGCCGAGGGTAATTTCAGTTACTGGCCATCACGATGCTTAACCTTTGAGTATGAGGAGCGGGTCATGATAGAAAGTCATTCACTTCAACGGCATGTCGTAGTACGCCGTTAAAAACCCTTTAACAGCAGATCTTGTACATCATATTTGATTTTTTTACAACGACTTTTGCACGCCATTAATTCAGAGGACAAACTGCGACGTTCATTGCTAATCGTTAAATATTTAATACAACGACCTATTTTGCTTGCCATAGATAACCCAAGTTTAGAGCATTTTTTGCATGCCGTAGAATATGTATATATATATATATATTTTAATTCAGCAGTTTCTATTTCACTTTTTTTTACAAATATAAGAAAACATTACAAACAAACTTTACAAATATATATATATATATATATATATAAACATTAATCAACCACCAAAATATTGTTTTAAACATAAAATTAAAAAATTAAAAAAAAAAACTATCCATAAGTTCTGAATATCCAAAAACTATCTATACATTCCAAATAATCTAAAAACTATGTTTCTAAACATCAAAACCTATCTTTACGTTCAAAACTGTCTAAAATGTTCTAAATCATAAAAAAAAAAAAAAAAACTATCATTAAGTTCTAAGCCATACAAAATTTAAACAAATATCTTCTTGTGAGTGCACCGTCGTGGGTTGTGCCCTCCATATCTTTGTATTAGGAAATTCCTAGCGGCTTGGATTGTGAGTGCACCTTCTTGGAAGTGAACTTCTCTCTCTGGTTTTACAAGTAAAACAAGACTCAAGAATTGCAGCCAAGATTGCCATCATACCAATACAGCTAAATTGGTGAAAAACATGGAAAATCATAAGGGCGTATAAATTAACAAAAGCTAATTGAAGGGATTACCTTCTGTTGGGTCTGTAATCTAACCATCTGCTCCATTAAGCATACAAGAGCAATTGAACAGAACATCTCAACAACCCAAAGTTGGTTAGAATTCTCCAACAAATCTTATAACCCAAATCTCTATATATTTGAATTACTCAAATTCTGGACCTGATATGAGCAATAGAAACAACCAAACACAAATTCAAACCATAATCCTACACAGACTAAAAAAACCCATATGAGGACTAAATTCTTAATCATTTCAAGCAGTAAGAATATCTGGAAATATATGTATATACATATATATCCCCCGCGGAACACTGTAAAAGTTTTGTATCAAACAAATGTTTAGACTTAAACAAAGGGTTAAACATGTTATTTGGGAACCAACAGGGATGTCATTTGTTCATCAGAATTGTTCAAAAAATTTAAATGAGTGGAACTGTTCTATAGAGTGTGAGGTCATTGGAATTTGGTGCAGCTATACAAGAAAATAATAGACACCTTTTTGGTAGCCTTGAAAGTGGCTTGTGCATAGGCAACTTCAATGGCAGTCTATAATTAACTTTGAAATTAATTAAAAACTGATTTGTGTAGCATAATATGGCCACAAACAAAAGGTTAGTTTCATAAAGCACTAAATAATAAATTAATTTCTGTGTGCTATTTTCTTTGCTAATTTCAATAGATATCATTGTTGAACATATAGTTAGGCATAAATGCATGAACCTTTCCATTGTACCCAAACAAAAAAAGCATAAATCATCATGGACACTTATCATTATCAAAGGAGAAAAAAAAAACTTCTGGCTAGTGCTTTGAGGTTTATTTATCTACAACCATGCATATATGCATAAATCTAATGTTAATTGCTAGATCAATAAGAAACAAATTTTACGTACATGTAATTAATTAAATTCATGTATGAAAAAAACCTGGCATCCACGTCTATAAACGGACATAAAAAAGGAAAATGCTGCCTCATTAGGGAAATAGAATCCCTCATGATCTAGGCTTTCAACAACACTTATCCAGTTGGCTTCAGGAGCCTGTACTTCAACATTTAAAATTAGAAACAAGGAATGAACTTTACTAAATTGCATATGCAACAAGATAAAAATAAATAAAGCAAGATACAGAATGATGTGAAAAAAAAAAATCACAAGCTGCTTGATTGAATCAATAAGGACATCAATATACCACGAGCTCATCAATGGCATATCAGACAAACTGTCAATACCAAAAGCATAACAGCAAGGCGAAAATGCATTCTGATTATCCTCAAGCCCAGCATGGGTGTGGGCAATTGTGCCAAGTATCGTAGAGACAGTGATTTCAGTTAGCAGTAAGAAAAGAGATAACATCTCCATGCATTGTGAAACATTAAATGTGCATCCATAGCCCAATTCCTTCATTATATCAGACATGCTCATCTCCTTCTCCATTTCTGCTAGAACAACATCAAAATCATTCTCATTGCCTTTGAACAAATCCAAGCTCCTGGAGCAAACAAGATGAGAAACAAGGCAAATGATGATCTTAAAACAAGATACATAAATTAACAGAACAAGCATAAAGCTAATAGCATAGTTGTTTCCAGAGGAAAAACAAACACAATTAATACCTCAAGAAGGTTGCCTCATGCAATTCATCTGAAAACAAAGAAGCTAAAATAAAGTGGTCACCCTTTTTCAATTGCACTAAAGATAACATCTGCATAAATGAATCCACATGCTTGGACAGGCCCTCAGATTGATGAAGAAACATAAAAATATTTTGGATTTGCTCAGTAGAATTAACACTCACAGAGCACTGTATTGAAATTCGGTTTATCCAACAAAAAGAAAGAAAGAGAAAGGACAAAGGAAAAGAAAGAAAGAAAGAAAGAAAAAAGGAGAAAAAACCTCCTCCCTGATGTTCAAATTAAAATTGAAGCTCACCTTGCACAACAACATCTCAACTGTACAATCTTTATCTGTTAGGGTCACTTCAAAGTTCAGAAGTTCAACTCTTTGCAAGGCACACCTGTATAAAAGCTAGCAGCGTGAAAAAAAAAAAAAAAAAGAAAAAAGAAAAAGAAGCAACCATAGGACAATTGCGTAGCACTGGCACTAAGCAGCACCAGCACACAGGCCAGGCCAACAGAACAGCAGGCTGGCATAGCAGAACAGTAGCAGAATGACATAACTATATCTGGCTAACACCACTGCAGCATACCAACACCGGCACTAGTAACATAAACAACAAACCAGAACCAGCAACACAAACAGCATAGATAGCACAACATAAACAGGCGCAGATAGCACATACAACATAGATAATATGTAGCCAATAGCACAGACGGCACATCACAAACAAACAACCTTACAACAGGCTACAAAAACCAGTCTACCTAGCCAAGACAATATGTAGAAGTTGCACTACAAGGTTCTGTTCAAACTCCACATACCAAAGACCATGGGAGGGAGGGGGTTGAACAAAATAGGCGCAAACAAATACAATTACTCAGCCAACCAGAGATAGCAAATAGGACCATAGCACCAACAAATTTGAGACAAACAAGGTTGTAGACAACTTACACATATAGTCCTTAATCACTCAACCCTCAACAACAATCAACACTCCAAACAGTATATAAGCTAATTCACACTCAACCCACAACAAAGATTTCCCTAACAAGAGTGCTAGCTTTACAATCTGCAGAACAAATAGTTAGAGAAAAGGAATATGGCTCACATCCTTCATCACACAAACATCAGAACCTATATGTAGAACCTCACCAAACTCAACCCTCCTCCCTACTAAAAGAACCCACTTGACAACCTGCAAAGTACAAGATTAGAACATAAATATAAAATAGATTTATGACAAATTTATATGAGATTCGCAAATAAACTCATGTTAGCTACACAAAACAAGAAGTTGGAAATATAAAAAAACAATTGATGGACACTACAATTTTAGTGGAACTATTATCCTTAGATAAGGAGCTAAAAATCATGCATTGAGAATTCAAGAGATTTGTGAATGGACCAAAAAAGGAAATAAAAAAAATATTTATTTCATTAATTTTTTTCTTTTCCTCCACAAATTTCACTTTAGATTGTTGATTCAAACGTACCCAAAATGGTACACTGCTTCTATTTGTGTGGTTGTACAAAGCATATCCCAGGACAACTAACAGAATGAGAACTCAAAAGAAGCCGCACCGGCTAGGCATCCCAACAAGGAGGAGTCCTCTTTCTTCCAGCCTCAAAACAATTGTTGTTAATAAATAAAAATCAACAACTAAGTTAGCAAATAAACATATTCAAGACAAGAAACAAAGAGAATAAAAATCAGCACATAAGTAGTAACAATTGGCTTAGTATCAATAAATGAACGACAACCAACTTACATGAAGAACAATGTACTTTTTCAATCAAACAAAACATCAAACACATAATAGGCACCATCAACCGCACTAATTGTAACTCTGCTCTTTTCATATCAGTATCGTGTTTATGAAGAGTAGAAGAGAAGAGGGGAAAGGGGAGAAAATCTATAGACATTTCTCTTGACATAACACCAAATAGGTAATAAGCACATCAATACAAAAAATTGCTAATATGTATTAAAAGGAAAATGATATTAAAAAAATGTTTTTAACAGAGTGTTTTCTGAAAGTAATATCTATTAAAACTCTTGAAATGGCCCATTTCAAGATGCCACTACTAGAAGAAAAAAAAAATCTGCTTTCCAAGATGATACCATAGAGGCCCATATTTCTCTTTGTTTTCAAAGGTATGGGTTTACTTCCATCTAATTGGAGAAAAAGAGAAAGAAAATAATAAAAAAAAGTTTAGACATTTGTGACATACGCAATAGACACGTTGTGGTTGAGAAATTGTTTACAACATGTAAAAAAAAAACAAGTCGTAAAAGTAAGAAACCATGACTTGCATTTACTGTATGTCGTTGATATGAAGCCGTAAAAACTCAATTTTGTTGTAGTGATTATTTTCGACATTGTTTAATCGAACATAATTTCTGACGAGACAAAGAGATTTCTGTCAGTCACTGATCTCGACTGAGAGATTTCCGACGAGACGACATTTTTCATTGACAGGAGAAGGAGAAAAAGAAGGATTGTCGTTCACTGAGAAAAGGAGAAAGAGACTATCGTCGTTCATTGAGAGAAGGACTGTCAGGGGACTTGTCGTTCTTCAACATGAGAGGGTATGCAAAATTAAGTGAGAGTGCACTTGGATGTAATGATATTATGAATGGAGTAAAATTGGTATTAAGTGGAGTGTTCAAAGAAATCTTATTAAAATTTAAGATTTAGAGTGGGGGTTCAAAGAAATAAAGGGTTCAAGGAATTAAGGTCTGTGCTAATAGCTGTCCTCCTTCAATAAACCTTTTTTGGATTTTTTTCAAAAATTTTTTTTTAAAACTTTTTATATCCGTCTACATTAGGTGGAGCTAAAAATTTAAAAAAAATTTGGGACACAATTCAAAAACTAAAAATTAAATAAATAAAGACAAAAAATCCCAAAAAAAAGAGTCTTTTTCAAGCTGGATCACAAACTCAAGAGTGTCTGGCATACTGTTGAAAAAGTTTTATTTTTTTTGAATTTCTTTGTCTTTAGTATTTTTTCAAAAATTATGTCAAAACAATTTCAAAATAAACAATCTTCTGTTTCTTGGTGGTTTCATTTTTTTATTAGTCATGTGGAAGAAAAAAACTTCTCAATCTCATCTCTATTCTAATTCATACCCCCAAAAAAAAATAATAAATAAATAAAGAAAACCATGATGCCCAATTAAATCCATAGTTAACAATGTTAAAATGGTACTCACTTGTACAACCTTAATCTACATTTTCAGATTGAAATTGCCAAATTAAGGAACAAGTTTTCGTGTAAAATTTAGGAGTTTGGGGAATGTGGAAAAAAAACACATTTAAAAATAAATAAATAATGGAATTGGTAAATCCATTCGAACCTGTCCAAACCGAACAATTTGATTTGCATTTTGAGGGAGCGGTTAAGTCCTGTTTCCTTTTTTTATATTAAATTTCATACTATTTTACATATAAAAAGTGGTTTTGAGATGTTAATTGTGTTGAGAGTCATCAATAACTCTCCTTACTCTCTAGAATCTTCTCTATGGAATATGCTAGAAGTTTCCACATGAATTTAGAAAATTCCAGAAATATGTAGAAGATTATAGAAAGACCTAGAGAAATCTGGAAGATTCTAGAACATCATAGAAGATTCTAGAACATTGGAGAAGTTTGGAAAAATCTAGAGAAATTTAGAAAGTTTCGGAAGGTTTTAGAATATTTTAGAGAAGTATAGAAACTCTATTATATAGTAGAGTAGTTTAGATAGTTTTAGAATGTAGTGAAAGTATGAGTATATTCTGGAAAGTTCTTCAACTAGTATAAATATAAGATGAGTGCATATACTAGGTATTAGACAATTGAGTAATCAAATGAAAGAAGAGTGATGTGAGGGGTGTAATCAAGTGTGCTGCAAGAGTGTGTGCATATGTGAATGAGTCCAATAATGTATCCATTGGGTAGTGTGTGAAGAAGGTGTTTTGAGTGCATTGTTGTGTACAATTCTAGTGTACAAGTGTTTTGAGTGTTATCAATAAATGCTGTATTTTTAGGTCAACTAGTGTGTCAAACTTAACAATTTGGTATCAAAACTTAGTCGTTCGGGGACTGACACGAAGAGCGATTGAGATTGATACAAAAGATTGTTGATGTCGATGTGCACAATTACAATGGTGGATTTCGAAAATGTAATTGGAGGTGTGGAAAAATTAAATTATTATAATTATGATTACTGGCGAATATGCATAGAGGCGTATTCGCCACTATTTCAAACAAGTGGTATCACAACATCTTGAACAGGGCGAGCATTCTGTCCTATGTTGAATGGTCGCTAGAGCTCACTACATGTACTAAGTCGATTGGTCCAAAATGAGTACCTCAGCAAGATTACCTAGTATACCTCTCACACCTAACACTAAGAAGCGAAAGGAGGATCAAGCGATATGGCGATAATCCAGATCCAAGGGTTGTGTTTCCAACATGGCAGAACCTACAACCGGCCAGCCTTTTGGCAAGCCGTTTAGGCAAGCCTCCGACAAGCCGTCTAGGAATAAGAGATGGAAAACACAGTGACTTAAGAGCACTACGCAAATGCAATGCAAAGAACATGTATATGTAAGTAAAATGTCACATCATGAAATTCAAGTCAAGTTTTTTAAATCCCCAACAGAGTCGCCAAAAACTGTATCTTGCTTTTCGTGCTCTTCGGAAGGGTTTAGTCTTCTTGGATATGATAGCCTTACAGTTCGGACTCCCGTGGTTCTGAATTTGATTTCATAAGTGCAATGTGAAACGGAGAAACACAAAAGAGTCCAAATGCCGCAAACTTTTTTAGAAAATTAAGTTTGAATCAAAGATGCCAAAAATGGACTGCGATGTCAAATTTCAGAATCGCCACCTAAATATTTTTGAAAAATTTAAGAATCCATGACTCGTGCCAAAAGGCCATTAGTCCATCATCACCAAAGTGTTTCGGCTCGAGAACTTAGGTATGAGAGAGAAAGGTCATGAATTGAGCACCCCACTCACCCGATCAAAGATCAGCCTCTACTAATCACGATGTGATTCTTATTTACATTATATGCTCTTGTTCCGATTATTATTATGTTATTGTTACTATGTGATGTCAAACAAATATAGACTAATTCGCCCAATTTGGAACACTTTGATTTTATGTTTGTTTTGAAAAGTATTTGAATATGCACCACTTGAAAAAGTGATTTCATATGTACATTAATCAAATCATCCTAACTTAAGCAAATTGGCATTCATCCACTGGCATTCAAGTGATATATCAACTAAGCACTTAGCCTTATGGTAATCATGCTTGACATGGCAACAATCACACACATGCAATATGCTAAAGCAAAAACGCTCACCTAGTATTCAACCGAGGCAAGCCAAAAGGAATAAAATAGTTAGAAAAAATACATGATCCTAACGATACAAATGGCTAATGCAAACACATACAAAATGCAAATAATAGACTCAGCTACTAGCATGGCGTGTAAGTCAATTGAAGACATGCAATAAATCACATATTCGAATAAAGAATTTGAAATAGACATTTGATTAGTATGATGAGCCGAGCCTGTATGCATGCAAATTGAATGGATGCAAATCATGGAAGATGTTAAGGAAAATATGATGCTACCATTATAAGCAGGTAAATAAAAAAGAGAAAGAAATGGGGGTTGAAAAACATACAACTTATTACATATTTGGCCCTAACATAGGAGGGTCAAAATGTCCAAGTATCCGAACTAATTACTTATTACAAATCTGAATGAATAATAAATGACTATCTAATTTATTACAACAATAATATTGCGACAAAAATATGTAAAGAATGCACAAGGATTGCATGCACGCCGATGAAAATAGTCTTCAGAGACTGTTTTGTCTGCTTTTCTGGGAAACCGACCTGTGTTCACCCTCAGTCACTACTCTGTATTTCCCAAAATTGCTTTATATACCACACATTGGAGCCCGGCTGAGCCCAAACAAATCCGGTTGTCCCTTATTTTTTTGTTGAAAAATGTTTTTGTGCTCTGAGGTAAAAACAGTGCAGACAGAGCATTTCTAAACCATGTTTGTCCTTTCTGCTCTTCTCTATCATAAAGATAGTCAAGAGAAAAGCAGGTTTGGTTCCCAAACCATCAATAGGCGCAAGTTGACTGTGTGATGGTTTTGGGAGACGATGGGACAAAGATTAATTAATGTAATGAAAGACATACTACCCCCCTCCTATTATGAAATTAATTCAAGAAGGGATGTAGACACGCCTCAAGACTCATCAAACATCACAAATTAGTATGTGATGAATCTAGAAGCGATGGATTCGGTATAATGTCTGACCGAATTCAACCAATTTTATTAGTCCTTTTTACGTCAGTTTGATCGATTTTAAGCCAATTTTATTAGCCTTTTTCAACTTACCATTCTATTCTTTAATCATTTAGTCCACAAATGGGAATTAAGTCCATTAAATGGAGAGAAGTGTCAAACAAGAAGTTTTTCTTGACATGAGATAGATGTAATACTGTCACGCCCCTAAAAGTTTGGGCATGACCTATACGGAAACGGACACATACACTAGCATACATAGTATACGGGGCCTTAACGGAAGCATTAGAACTAAAATAATATACCAAACTCCATTGAGCTACCTCTAATATGCCAGGATCACATGCATCATGAACATTAGAACAAACAGTTACAAGCCAAAATTATACATTAAGCGTCAGTTACACATATACGTATACAGTCCCAGCCCTAAAGAAGGGCAATTACAAAACCATTTAAGTCATGTTCAATCAGCCTTAATGAGTAGTTAAAATACAAGTTAACATCTTAGCAAAGCTTCACAAAAATGAGTAGTCTCATCTAATGCCCGGACTCAGAAAGGTTGACAAAAAGAATGGACATCCTGGGTCAGGGCTGACCTCCTGGTTGGTTACCTACAGAAACAGACATATCAAAAGGTGAGCCAAGCTCAGTGAATAGTAATACATAACTAAACTAATGCCTAACTTGAGTCATAGTAAAAGAATACATATAGATTCGTAGCTTGTCGACACTTATTGATCCACAAATCATGTCTAAAACACTTAGGAAGGAGATGTGGATATAAATATGAACTAAATGCAACTTCCCAAATGATTCTGAAAATGGATCCCCGTTCGAGCGCCCAATTTGCCGCTCAAGCGGACTGTACAATTTAACAAAAATGCTGGGAGGTCGATTTTTACACTTGAGCGGGAATTCCC